CGGTAACCTGGTTGCCGAGTTCACGAAGTGAATTGGCTTGTTTCACAACGTCGTTGCCCAGCGACGAAAACCTAATCCCGATGGCACACCGGGGGGGGCGGCTTGTTTTACAACGTCGTTGCCAAGCGACGAAAACCCAACCCCGATGGCAAACGCCGGGGGGGGGGGGGCAATCAGGCAGGCTGGGTGTTCTCGCAGGCTCACGCTGCCCCATGTATGCAATACTCGCAGCTCGATTTCAAGCTGAAACGTGGTAGTTTCGTATCTATTACTTTCGTATCTGGGTGATACTCCGATGCTTCTCTCTTGGGAAAAGCCGAGGGGGCTGCCTGTGTGCCGCTGCACAGCAGCCTCCGACCTTCTCAGTGTCGGATTTGCAAGCATGTCTCGAAGCAAACCACAAAAAAAAAGAGCGACGGTGGTGCAAGCGACACCCTCTGCTGCATATTCATCAGCGGAATCAACACGGCCTTAACCTCATGAATTAAGTTTTTTTTTTTGTTCGGGGTGCGGGCACCTTGTGTGATCGCCACGACCAACAGTCCCAGCAGCAAGACCGGGAATCGCACCCACGACATGTCCGGCCCGTTCCGCTCGTACGGCAGGACCGCTTTGTGGACAACCACCTCCTGTGCAGGGGGGGAGGCGGAGGGTAAATCAGGGGAAAATCGAGAAAAAGTTGGAGAAAAAATGGATAGAAAGAGGGACCAAAGCGCAGGCTCGGTCCGTCAAGAGCACGCACGACGCTCCGTGTCACGCCGACGTTCGGAATGCACGAGGCCACCTCGTACGGGAAAAAAACAAAACAATTTCTAAACCGTTGGTGGGTAAACGCTGGTGAGACACTGAACGCGTCTCCGCCATACGCGATGGACTGTATGAACCTACGATGCCATGTGGTGCTTCTCACCCTGTCCGCGTCACCCAACACTCACCATGAAGTGAGGCGTGTTCGCAAGGCGTTCACGTTGCTATAGTGCCGGCCACACAAGTAGACAACTACCTCGACTCACCGCTGAGCAACGAGAGGCCTCCACCACCAGCACCTCCCCGCTACCCGACGACATCACCGACCACGTCCTCCCACCAGAAGGGGTCGCCTCCTCCGCCGCCGCCGCAAGAGCGTCAGCCCCCACACCGCTTCTTCTGCTCTCGGTGCCGGGAGACAGGGGTGCTCCGCAGTGGTCCTCCGTTCTCGCCCCCTCTGCTAAAGCAGCAGCAGCCGCGTGCGTCGTAAACAGCAACCGGCCGGCATGGTCGGTTGTGTTGTACGCCGACAGCAGGCCACCGTGAGACACGATCGCGTACCCGCGGACTGTGGAAATCGAATCGCACCCCCCCCATCCTCCCCCCCCTCCGAGCAGACTACCGCCGCCTCCGCCGTCGCTGGCTGCTGTAGAGGTGCTTGGGTCGGCGTGTGGCGAGGAACGCTGCTGCGGGAGCGGCGGCGGGAGCCGGTAGGATGGCAGGCACGCGTAGGAGCTGTCCATCTCTTGAACCCTGCTGTCGTAAGCCTGTAATTTTTAACGTGGGAAGGCCCGTAACGCCGTGAGTGCTTGTTCGATTATGAACCGGTGGGTGTCGCGCAATCAAAAACATACCACGCATGACGGAGTGGTCGCCCAATCAAACATACGCATGTTTTTTGGGGGGGGTTCGCCATGCGCGCGGCCAGGAAAAATGCGAGGCGAAAAATGCAGCGGTTGAAAAGCCCGGGAGGGTTGCGGACCAACCATTTAGGCACCGACCGTCTGTAGGTATCGGTGCTTGGGGAAAATTTTGTTTGCGCCGGCCAAACTCGTACGTCATCTAAACTACCACACTTAACAAAAGATACATAGATGAGGCTGTTCTAATTAAACGGTCGAGTCGTGGTGGGGCAACAACAACGCACGCACGGACCATGACGTCTCCGGTCCCAAAGCCCACGTAGAGGACCCCCGTAGACACGGCGTCGAATGCAAGCGCGGTCACTACGGCCCGTTCCCCTCCGCCTCTACTGCCGCCGCCGCCTCCGCCGCTGCCGCCGCTCCAGCGACCCCCTCGACACACGCGACCCGGCGCCCTCGTGAACTTGCTCGAGCTGGCGAAGTGTACGTCTTCTCCGACGGTGAACGCGATTGCCTGTTTGTTGGGAGCCGTTCGTCCGAGGGGGGGGAGAGGCCCCGCAGTGTCACGGTGACGCGACACGAGACAAGGGGAGGGTGAGATAGAGAGGATGGGATGTAGGCTTGAGAGAGGTTCATATAGTTCGCGTGGACGCCTAAGGGGATCATGCGGGGTCGGCAACATAAGCGTGATCAGGGGATGGCTCTTAAGACGAAAGCAGTGACTTGAACACCGCCGTTGTACGATTTTTCTCAGCTCTTCCGGTCTATCACCCCGTGTCTCAAAGCAAAACCATGCCGTTGGTTGTCAGGCGCGTCACATCAGCGCACACTCTTCCACCCTGTTGCCTGCCCTAACCAACCACGCTACCATGATCCCACCGCCCAAACAACGTGCCTGGCCGCCCCGCTTCACGGCAAGAACCGCGCTGCTTCCAGTATCGATAAAAGCAAGCTCCGTCCCGTTGCCCGCATGGTAGAAGCTCACTCCGCCGGAGGAGTACCCGGCGATCACAACCGTTGTACCAAGCCTTTACACGTTGTTTAGTTGATCGGCACGCAGCGCGGCAGGAAACACACGACGGGTTCCCCAAGATGAGGCTAGAGGGAAGGGTAGGTTGGCGACAATAGGAACAAAATAAAGACGGTATCACAGCAAGTCTGAGGGGAGGAACATCAGGAAAAATGCGCCCAAAACACGAACGACGTCAAGTACAAAAAAAGTGCCAGACGAGTTGGACCTATTAGCTCCCACGACCTTAATGCTGCTATTGGGTTCATCTATGAATACATCCAAAAGAAGGTACTTTCAGCGGGGGTACAATTAAGCCGAGACAACGCTGCTCACGATCGGTGGAAGAACGCGTCCATGCTAGTGATGACTGTCGCCGTTTCTCCCTGCGGCGGCAAGCTTCCCGACATCGACCCGGCGGTTTCCTGGTCGCCGCCACCGTTACCGACAGAAACGGTCTCACCGTCACCCCCCATGCTCCGGAGCTGCAACAAACCGTCAGTACCCCGGCACGCAGAGCCAAGACACGTCTTGAACTCCACGGTAACGCCGACGCCCATCGCCGTCGCCGGCGGTGGCGGCGGGGACCCGTGCAGCCTATCGCCGCCGCCGTCCCCGTGCCCGCCGTGATCGCCTTCATTTTCGCTCGACCCTCTGCTTCGACGAGGTGCTTCACTCCTGGAGGTGCTGCTGCTGGGATCGCTGGCCTCTGCCTTCTTCCGCCTGCCGCTGTGGTCGCTGCGGCCCCCTCTCACCCCCACCCCGGCCACCTGCCTCCCCCGATAGTAGACCGCCAGAGCGTGGACCCGCGCGGTGCCGTCTGCGCCGGCCGTCACAAGCACGGGGCCTGACTCGGAAGAGTCCGCGGTCATGCCTACTACGGCCGCTGGCGTCTCCGTCTCCTCCTCCGCCGCCGCCGCCGCCGCCGCTGCTGATACCGCTGCCTCGTTCGGAGATCCAGCATCGGCGGTGGCTGACGACGAAGAGTCCGTAGTGGTCGAAGAGGGCAACGCCTCTCTGCGGGCGTGCCCCGCATCGAAGACGAGGATCTCTTCCGCGTCCGTGTCGCGAAGGCGCACCATCCCGTCGGCGTGCAGGTACGCGAACACGTTCAGGAAACCTTCGAGGGGGGGGTAGGTGGGGGGAGGGGGGAGCGTACTCATATTTTGCTATGCCTAGCTGTAAGACTCATTGGCCGAAGAGGGGGGGGGG